GGGGAGGGCAGTGAAGAATTCGGGATTGCATGGTTTTCAGTAGGAACGCGGAAAGGGGGGGATCAATCCTCACCTTCACCAACAGAGTATTAAGGGAAGACTATGGAAAATTGATTGTCAATAACTGCCAATGAGCGGGGGATCGTAAAAGTATTGCAGAGCTTTATGGGGGGATCGGGTAAATTCATAGGGACACAACTAAAATAATCCGACCATTTGCTGATAAATAATGAACGGTCCCTAATTGTAAGTTTCTTCGGCACGACCACCACTTGCTTATAGACCAAGCTTACGCTACCAGTGATTCTGAAGCGGTCAATGCGTCATTTTGAGGTAGACTTAAGAACACTCACCCTCGATCTCGGCGTATCCACAGGTTTGGAAGGTGCAGGGGTATCTATGGAAAAATTTTCAGATGCCAAAGGAGCCCGTGCAACTTGCGCTGAATTGTTTGATACAGGGGCCTGCGGATCAGGGCTAACCGAAAATCTTGAACTCCCAGATGACAATTTCCTTCTGGAAGGTGGAAACGGTGAATCTACTTCCTCAGCGGAAGGAGTCCGTGATGCAGTATCGACCGCAAATCTGGAATTTCCAGAGGGTGAATCGCTGGAATTTTTCCTGAGCGGAATAATTGCTGACGCTTTCGGTGGGCGAGTTTTTGAGGGAAGCGCAGCTGCATTTTCAGGTGAGGGGGCCATTGGGTAGGAAATCTGACGCACGGAGTTCCTTCTTCCTTGTTCTGGTGAACATGGAGCCGAACGGCTGACCCGAGGTGCAGGAAAAGAACCAGAACCAGATAAATCTTTTTCACGTGCCAAGGGCGATATCGGAAGAGCGGGCGGGCGTGGTCTTTCAGAGGAAAATGACTTGCTACCAGAGGGGGGTTTTTCTGGCTTTTGATTTTGGGGTGGACCAAATAAGTTTTGTAGGGATGAAGGCATTGATATCGGTTGACTTTGACTTGGCTGAGAAGGAACTGGTTCGTCAGCACAATCAACAGACTCAACCGAATTTACCGAAAACAAATTTGCTAAAGGTGGATTGTTGTGTTTCTTCGACTTACGACCATCGACTAAGCTTGTACCAGGAGACTTACTGAGTCCTTCGTAGAAGTCTGCACCAAGGTTCTTTCTCTCCCTCTCAGGTGTATTAAGAACACTAGTTCCCATGTCCGAAGAACCAGACCTGCTGTCCAGTGAGATCAACGGCTCGTTCTCATCGGACATCCAAGTCAGTCGCGAGTATTTTAAGGGATCGGAGAGGCTCCTAGGTGAAACTAAAATGCTGTCATCGTGTTCAGATTCATCATCACCACCACACCAACCCTGGGTTTCTTTTGAGAATTTCACCCTCTTTGAGTCGCGTTTACTTCCGTCTACTTCTTGAGCTCTAGAAAATTCCTGGGCTAGCGACGCGCTCGAGGCGTTCGCCATCAAGGTATCACTGTTTGATCTTTTTAACTTCATCCCCGGGAGAATCGTAGTGCTTCCGGTAAGCCCACGACGGGTCAGGTTCTCTATGCGAGAAGCGGCTGCTGGATAGAGAGAAGCGTTTCGATGGGCCTGGGCCTGATCAGATTTTTCACCGTGCTCCACTTTACGGAAGCTCGGTTTTCTAAGGATAGGCTTCCGTTTGTGTGGCACCTTGACGGGACGAGTGGGCATGGGGCTAAGTCCCTCGTCATCATCATCATCACTAAGCTCCATTTTCCTGTTCTCCTGTCCTTTTGTTGTCACTGTAAAGCGGCCGACTGTGATCGTTCTGTTTGTGAGGAGCGATTGACACGTCCAGTCTTCCAGCTGATCAAAGAGGGGAAAAAATAATAATGATGAGGGTTAATGCTCGAAACGTCAGCTTTACAAACTCTTCAGGGTGTGGCCAATTTACATTATCAATTCAGTTGATAAAACTAAATTATAAAAACATACTATACAAGTAGAAAAAACAAATCAAGTTGAGAGATTTGTGTTCTTCGCATCAACTCCCAATTCTGAGATAGTTCCAAAATCTTTGAAGAATTGCCGATTTTTGTATAGCCTGTACACAGCCGCCCCATCCCCTCGAAAAAATCGGGAAGGGAGCTCCCTCCCCGAGTTTTTCGAGGGGATGGGGCGGCTGTACACAGGCTAATTTTTGTGTGGGATACCTGCGGTATCCCACACTGTTGTCATCGGCTTTTGTCCGTTAATGTTCATGCACACCTCTGTTTATTTCGACGATTATTTGAGAATTATTCTACCAATAGCTCAAAAGGCGATGAGCACCCTAAAAAGAGAACTTGAACTGGTATTCTTACCGGTCCAAGGTTGATATCATCCTCGCTAATGCCGTCAAACGGATCATCTAAGACATCTTGAACTCCTTGTAATGTTCCAAATATGAACGATGTCAACACAGCAATGTAATACGGGCTCCACGTGTTACCTGACTTGATACCCATATGAACATAGTACGGAGAGAGAACGATGGGCATAAGGAAGATAAATACTTTTGTGAACGAGCGGATGGTCCGTGGAGATCGGTATTCCCTTATCACGCGCAGTCTTTCAAATGCGTGACACATGAGGCTGAGGATGGTAAGTTGAAAGAGCGTCACAATTGAGAAAAATAATTTATCATGCCTTGCACAATAAGGTTGGAATGAATATGTCAGAAAAGGCCTTATTTAGTCCAACCTGTATTAAATTTCTCGAATGTGATTGGTCATCCGTGTTCTAATTTGAAAACCGGTAGGACAATGTGAACTACACTTCACACAAGTCTTGTAATCGATAATTAATGTTAATTGGACCGACTGGAATCCAACTTTGTCTGTAATCATAAGAGAGATTTCAAAATTGAACAACTGCCTAGTGTGAATCCGATTTGTTGCTTAAAGGCTCAGTTAGATTAAAGGCAGAATTGAATGACACAAAATTCTATTTCTTAATAAAAATGAAACCAATGGGCATACTTCCCCACCAAGCTTTTTGAGCGCTTTTCCCTCGTTAAAAAACAATCAATGATATTGAATATGTGAGTTGCTAATACTTCTAAGCGAGAAATAGTGTTACTATTTATTTTCTACAGACTTACTAGTGATAATTAGTGAATTAGTCTGGTCATTAAAGGCCCAATGATATTGAATTTGTAAGTTGTTAATAATTCTAACTAAAAACAGTGTTACTATTTATTTTTAAAGACTTACTTGTGATAATGAATTAGTCTGGTTATTAAAGGCTCATTGTGTGGCAGACTTGAAACTCTCATCTTGTCATTCAACTGGCTTATGTCACTCAAATCTTCATAAATAACCTGAAAATTTCCACATCTAAGTAAGATTTTTCCAAGAAGGTTCCATGTAAACAGAAATGGCATGTTTTGAATAATCACCTCTTAAACTCAACCATTTGTTGGCATGCGACAATAAAAAAGGAACCATGTAAACATGCTGAGCTCATTTTGCTGATGAGCACTATGAGATAATGTACAAAGCTACAATTTGTTTTGATGTTTCAGATCTTGTGCATAAAATGATAATTTTTTTTAAAAACATACACCAAAGGACAAGATAGAAAGAACATATGAACACATATCGTGCACATATACATAGAAAGAACATAGAACATAGTTATTAGGGGTATTTCCCAAAGAGGAATTTAAAAACTGCTTTGATCTTGGTGGCATGAGACAAGAAACAATGAAAATACCACTATTCAAACAACAATCTACACTTTCTACAGTGAAGTTAAAAGTAAAAGGCAAACATAACTTACTGATACATATGATGCACGATCCTCGCAGTAGAGAGCGCTATTTATGCAATAGCGAAAATCAGACCTGAAAAAAATCGGGCCTGTATGGGATTCGAACCACTGACCTCTGCGATATTAGTGCAGCCCTCTACCAATTGAGCTAACAAGCCAACTGGGAGCAGGCTGTTAAGTTGATTCGTAATAAACCCGTGATGATAAATCAGATACGATGAATATATGAAGTTCATATATTTTGAATCAACTTAATGGCCTGCTCCCAGTTGGCTTGTTAGCTCAATTGGTAGAGCGCTGCACTAGTATCGCAGAGGTCAGTGGTTCGAATCCCGTACAGGCCTGATTTTTTGTTTCAGGTCTGATTTTCGCTATTGCATAAATAGCACTCTCTACTGTGAGGATCGTGCATCATACATATCTATAACCGCAGTTCAAAATATATGAACTTCATTTATTACACGACTCGGGAAGTCAGAGGGCCAATAACTAAAATCAACCAATCAAAATGCTCTATTGCCGGTCAATATTCTCTCAGTATTGGACCGGGCACTGTCCCGAATGGTCCCACATGATACCGCACTTGTATCCCTTTGAACTTCAGTCGTGTAATAACTCTTTTATTAACCAAGCTTGCTCGGGATCGTACTGGAAGAAAATTGGCCCTTGGTCTTTTTTGTACGGACCTCATGCCGATATTCTCCCAGTACAGCCCACATTCTTGGTTAATAAGATACATATCTTCATCGTATAACTTACTGAGAGAATAAAGTTCCTCCTCATGTGCTTCTCAGTTAATAAATATTCCTTGATATTCAACACCAAACCTTTCAACTTGTTATTTACTGTTTTTAAAAAGTCTTTGGGTAAACCTGAAGTTAAAGAAATAAATATCAATAAATTAAACACTGTCATTGAGAGCAAACACAGTAATGGTAAGAAGTAGTGAGGGAAAATGCTTCTGATCAAAGAGTTGTATGCAAAATATTGTCATAAAAGAATATATGATTGGTTTACAATTATTTTTAAGGCCTGTCTCACTTCAATACAACTGGAAAGGATTCTATCTCTTTGCATAAAATCATGTTAATATTTGGGACTTATTTACGAGGATTTATCCATTAAGTAAATACATTTTAGCAACTGGACTTAATTTCTCACTTATCCATACTGAGAAGTGGGCTAGAAAGAACTTTAATCCAGACCATTTCCTAAAACAACATGCTGCTGATAATACCACTACCTCCCTCTAAGTTGTTTCACTGTGTGGCTCCCTAAACTCAAAACGTTGTTTTCTCTGTCCATACTGTAAGTTACGAACCTTTTTCTTTTTACACTTGGATTTATCACTTGCATGCTTTGCCCTTGGGCCATAAATTCAAGCAGAAAGAAAGTGCTTTGCAAATGAAATCAATTAAATCATTCTTCTATCCATTACAGGCAAGGAAATTTGACCTGCTCACTGATCAAATTACTACCAACAGAAATAACCATTAGTAGTTGTGGCTATTCATATTGTTCCTCTCTATCAAACAATCACAATTACCTGCTGATTGAAGCCAATCCCTGTGGCAGAAAAACAATATCAAGAGAGCACCTTTGAACTGTGCTAGGTCTTCAAGAACTCTCTCACGCCGCTGGAAATCAGCTGAAAGAAATGATGGTAATTTTAAAGTAAAGATGATGGAAATCTGTCACTGGTAAGGGAGTAACAGAGAAAACATTCTCAATCCTCACACAGATTTTAATCTCAGAAATTCTTATTTTAGAATGACTTGCTTTACCGAATACAGTATACAACTGTCAACTTGCAACTAAACACCAAGACACTTTGGAAATAAATTAACCCTTGCATGTACCCCATTACACCTCAGCATTGGAATAAATACACATTCTCCAAACTGTTCTCTATACATTTCCCAATGTGCTCACAAGGAGAATTTGCTTAACAATCATTTTCTTAATTCCTGTGTCCATAATGAGTGATTTAGGGTTGATATTGTAAGGAGAAATTAGATCCTAGTCACTTTTAGTGGTCAAAAGTTTAAACTACGTGATTCCTTTTAATTAGAACTATTTTAAATCCATGCTGGTACTAGTAGATAACGGTGGAAACTGTCGTGATGTAAGTTACAGATAATAATAGGGACATCACTTGTTTAGCAAGAGAATGTTGTTTAGCAAGAGAATGCGGTGTGACCGAGTGATTAGGGTGCTGGACGTGTAATCAGGTGTCCGGGGTTCAAGTCCTCCACCCTGCCACTCACTGGATTTGTTCCCAGTTGCCCCTTGTTCAACTCCTCGGCTGCGCTCTGTAAATAGCCGACTGGTCTGCCTCCTGCCAGTGGGGATTTTTAAACACTTAGATATTCTACATTGAGGCTGAAAAGCCCCTAAGGGGGGAGCTTCAATTTAATTTTTTTTTAAATGTTGTAAATAATATTCTTGCAACATACCATTAATGGAAAAGGCCAAAGGGAACACAATTGGTGAAACAAAAATACTCATGTGCACATCAAAGTCAAGTCCTGGAAATTGAATATAACAAGAAAGGTGAGTTTAACTTAGTAAACTGAGTACCAAAGCGTATTTACCATGGACACAGGGGACCTGAATTCATTTTACTGACAAATTACCATACACTGAATTTTTGTGAGGTATCATAAGTATAAATTACTGTTTTCTAACGAACTGAAAGTTGGAAGCATACAAAATGCTTGTGGTAACCCCAGCTAAGTGTTCATTTTCTTGAAACAAAATTAACTCAGATTTAAATAGACATTTATTTCATAATTTTAAAAATGAGTATTTACACATAATGGTTTGGAAGCCTACTTCTCTTACCCCTAAAAATGTTTCATAAAAGATAATTTTGAGAAGCTTTTATATCAACACTTGCTTATTCCACTGGAATCTGATCATACAATTTTAAAAAATGCAGGAGAAGCGGTTGCTGAGAAATAAATAACACATGAAATGTCCGTCAAGGAGAAAACAAGGGAGGCAAAAGATAATCCTTTTAAATACTTACTTAACTTCTGACACATAAATGTTCCAAGTGCTATAAAGGAAACATAACAACTATCAATTAATGAAATGGTCCATGTATAAATGAGAAATAAAATCTGTCTCATTATTTTAGTATAAAAGCGGCTTCACACTTTACAATACAGTGTCTCTTCACTAGGTACACAAATGTGCAATGGTGAGCAGTTTGGGAGACCTTATGAAATTCAAGAAGGTAACTTAAATTTAATTTTTCCTCCCCCATGGTGGCAATAACCCTAGTCACTTCTGTCCACACATGTAGAGACCAGGATAGGTTTACGCTTGGGAGGCACTTAGCTGATGTGTAAAGCTTGGAAATCTTACCCTACCACTCCCCCTAAGAGTTTGGAACCTTTTCACCCCCTTGGGACATAGTTCAGCTGTTATGGTAAGTTTGACCGAGAATCAAGAATTTCAGCGCAATTACTCTTCAACAAATATGATCGTTTTATGATCTCATTAATGATCAATTCATCATCATCATCATCATCATGCATCAGGCTCCGTGAAAGATTGACTGAGAGAGGACTCGTAAATTCTAGTTCCTTCATTCATTCCTTTGTGCACATCACTCATAACTCAGTCTTAACACACTTCCGTGTTTTATGGTCTCTATAACTGTACAACTCATATGAACGCGATGTACATGATAACCTTCTGGATGAGAGAAAGAATAGAAAATTACCACTAGTATGTATCCTCACCTGCTAAAACCATTTGAAGAAAAAGGATAACTGTAAGGTTATATACAAAAGTGCGTAAAATCTGCAAAATGAAATTTTATTGAAAAGGTTCGAAAACGCAATTTAATATAGCAATGTAGGTAACTTGTCCAAGCAGGTAGTTTAAATACCTACGAATCGAACAAGCTTGCAAAGAAATAATAAATTGTGCTTACACTTTTATCAATGAACAGTTTCTTAAATTGGTAGAGTCTCCCTTCAATTCCTTTTCTTTTGGACCGTCTAGTTTCACTCCATTTGTAAATGTCAGCTCTTCCATCTTCTATTAAATCTGGGTCTAAGGTACTCAGAATACTCGATGAACCGACATGAAACGGCATAGCCAACTGTGTGTGGAATATTCATTAAACACCTCATTGATCGTGTAGAAGACGCCCCGTAGCAGTATAACCACTGTCTGTAGTGCAGTTGGAGATATCTTGGACTGAAGGACAAAATGGTACTCCACGAAACTCTCCACCGCTTCCACCGCTACCAATCCGAAACCCTATTTTTTAAGGGAAACTGCTGACCAGCATAAGAGCCAAAGGGGTCGATCAGGGCCGGAGTCATTGGGATCAGGTTTGTTTCTGTTCAAGCGGCCACGGGCCACGTAGGATTGTTAGTAAGCGCACAGAAAAAGAGAGAGGAAAATAGAGGAAACAGAGACAGAGGGACACATTTTTAAGGGTTTTACTAGGGTTTTCACTAGGCTCCACTGTACGTAAGCTCGGTTTTCTCAGATTCCAGTATTTTGATTGGATGAGTAGCCATGAGATCAGTTCTCAATCATTATCGTTATCACCAAACTCCATTTTTCGTTTTCGTTTTCTTTTTGTCGTCATTGTTGTTTTCGTTGAGCTGACCAATTCCAAGCAAGGAAACAACTATGAAGCGGTTGTTAGTGATAATTTTAGCTGGATTTACAAGAAAGTAATAACTTTCGCTCGAGGGAAGAGGTAGAGTTACCAAACATAACATATATTCAACTCCTCGATTTCAATGCGATTTAAAAGCTTATTTATGGGAGTTTTTGAGAAGATCTATACCTCATGAATTCCCTTTGCGTATCATGACTTTGATCGGTAATAATCTCTAGGTGACATAGAAAATGTTGATCATAGAGGAAAAGGAAGGATATGGGGAAGCAACGTGATGGCGGATTCCATTGTGTGATCATGGTACAGCCTGCTTCATTCCTCAGTTGGTCATTACCTTAAGCTCTCAAGAGATGCCAAGTGATGTACAATTCAATAAACCTCTACACTCTCATGACCAGTGTGCGAGTTCTCCATACTCTTCTCTAACTTTTCGTATGGTACTTACAGGGAGAATTTATTCAGCAATTAAGAGCTCCTTTTATTGGCGACCTTTTCCTTTATTCTTTTTACCTTGATCATGATTTGAATTAGAGGTGATGCTCTTGGGAGAAAGTTATAAAAGGAAATTTTGAGGAATTTTAACCCTCCAACCCTTAAGGGTGATAAACATCTTATTTCTCCCAGAAGCATCTCCTCTAATTCAAACATCAAGGTCAAAGGCAACCTCGTTTCCAGGGGACGGGAAGATGAGAGACCCTGGGAACGAGGTTAAGTCAAGAGAGTAAAGAGAATATAGCGCGAGCCTCCTTTACCGATCACAATTGAAGTGAAGCAAAACTATAACGGAGTCTCGCTTTCTTTGCATCAAACTGACGCACTGTCTACCTCATACTCATTTTTTGTTCCCAGAATTCTCTGGCGTTCTCAAATGAGAAGGTAGAGGGCATACTGATCGTATAGGAGATCTAACGAGATATCTTAAATTTGCTTTCCTAACTGTAGTGATAAAGCAATAACTGATCATATACCGCACTCGTACAATTTTAATATTCTTCGCAATCGGAAAGATTGCAAACTTTCTGCTGTTAACTCATAATTAGCCGTTTGAAACGCAAAGAGATTTTGATTGAAATCATTTACAGATGATGCTTGATGGAGAACAAAATATTTTACAACGTAATTAGGGAAATATATCAAAGAATTGAAGCCATTCTGGATAAATCTTTTTTTTTTTTCTGAATAATTGCTTGGTTGTGTAGAATAATACAAAGCTTAGGGTCATTTTTTCTCCGAAAATGCGAATAGACACGAATAGACAAATTCATATGAAATTCGATCGCACGAGGGAAAAAGGGTTCGCTGTTCATTTTAAAAGTGATGTAAATTACCTTCTAGGCCTCCAGTGACTTGAATTTTTCGACAGTGATGTTTTTCCTGTGAGTGATGTCATGAAGAGAGAACTTACAAGGTAAACTAATTGTTTCCGAATGGAGTGGAAAAGAAAGTGCCATTTTAATGATTTTTTTTTTTATTACCCCATCGAATGACTGACAATCGAGCTGTATTTTTAATAAACAAATTTGCCTACAAATAGTTGTACCAGTGGGACTGTGGCATAACATTAGCTTGTATAAACATATGAGGAGGATCATTTGTTTTCCTTTGAAAGGAAGAACAACATTGGCCAGTGAAAATAGCAATTAAAACGGCCACGTGAAAATTTGATCTCCATTTTGCAAAGCCTCTGAAAACAAGGAATAGTTTTCACTAGTAGACGTCTGGGTTTGTTTTCATACTGAATACGGTGGGATAACTGAATCGTGCACTTATATCAGTTAGTTGGAAAAAAATAGAACATTGCTTATGGTCTTGCGTAAATTTAGAGCCATAAATTTCCATTTGAATCCTTGTCACTGCTAACGTCAAGTTACTTGTCACTTTCTACCCAAAATTGTCCTTGTTTTAGCAAAATTATCACAGCAGGAATGAAAATTTCATATTTTCGATTTAAGCGCATGATTTAATACAAAGAACTTGAAACATAACCAGCGAATAAGAGGCTAGATATTGTAAAAAGCTTATCGCTGTCAATTTCGTTGAGATAATATTGCTTGGATGTTTTAACACCTGGCGAACTGAGTACACCACAAACTTCAGTTTGAGCTCCATCTGAAACGTAACTTGACAAATTTTGGCTATTTTGAGATACAATTCTAAGATGAGACACTTCTGCGTGCTTATGGACTTCGTTTATTTTCTCTCTCAATTGTATTGCTTCATACTACAACTGGCCACAGGAAAAGTGGAATCTTATCTCGCAATCGCAACTTTTAAACATAACGAATTTTACATGAATGGGAGTCTAATTTTTGCGGGTTTGTTTCCCATACATTACGCTCCGCAGAACAACAGCACATTAAAGCAGTGCCAAGGGAAATTCAATACCCGCGGCTTCGAGCAAGCTCTGGCCATGTTGTACGCTCTGGAACAAATCAATAACGACTCGAAGATTCTTCCAGGAATTCCCATTGGGGCAGACATCAAAGACACTTGTAGCAGCGTTGACTCTGCGATCAGAAAGTGCTTAAATTTCAGTTTTGTCAGAAATAACATGGAGGATATGATGTGCGAGAAAACACTGCACCCAGACGTCGTTCACGATCCGAGAACAGTCGCAATTGTTGGTCTGGGCTCCACCGATGTAGCAATGGCGGTGGCCAATTTCGCAGGGCTGTTTTATGTCCCTGTTGTGAGCTATTCCTCATCGAGTAGACTCCTTAGCAACAGAATTCGTTTCAAGTATTTCCTTCGAACGATTTCCTCAGATACCCTGATGGCAAGAGCTGTCATCGATTTTTTACGTGAGTTAAAATGGAATTTTGTCCACGTTTTGTATTCAGACACAGACTATGGGCGATCAGCATTCGAGACTTTCGACCATGTCCTCTCAGCGTCCACTGGCGCGAAAATTTGTCTGGCAATAAAAAGAGCTTTTACACAACAATCAAAATCCCGTGATATCGTGAGTTTCCTCGGGAAGATGCAAGAGAATGAAAACGCGAAAGCTAAAGCGGTGCTTCTTTTTACAACAGTGGGAGACACCGAGTTTATCTTGAGCCACTTCGACAAACTCAACATGACAGATTATGTTTTTATTGCCACCGATCACTTTACTGGGCGTCTAAACAGGTTTAACAGTTCACCCCAAATGTTGCGACGCATTGTTGGTGTTGTACCACGTAAGGGAAGGACAAAGGACTTTGAAGACTTTTTTCAAAAGGTATTGGAAACAGGAAAACTGAAACAATTTCCATGGTTTCACGAGTTTAAAAAATGTTATTTGAAACCCCCTTTAGAACTGTCTACTTATGTTCCATACGTTATTGATGCGGTGTATGCAACGGCGCATGGTCTTCACAACCTTCTGAATTGCACGCAAGCGAGAAGCTGTAGATATTCCACTGACGAATTTCCAAGTTTGAACAGGTAAGCATTGACAAAGTCTTTGAAGTTTTGAGCCTAGAAATTTTGTATGAATTAAGACCTAGAATTTTTCATCCTAAAGGAGTCAGAAACCGTGTCTCGCTCATGAACAACTGAAGGAGAGCGGTTTAAATTGTAAAATAGGACAGGTTAGCCTCAGCTACTGAAGAATTTTCATATAAAAGAAATCTTTTTTTTTTTCCAAGTGGCAATCCGTTACATTTGAAAATGTGCATTAGTCTGCTGCTCTACTATATCGAGTCAAATTGATTTAGTTATCGAAAAATGATAAGGCGTTAAAACTTAGAAATGCTCTAGTCTTCTATTAAGAAAGGAAAATTCTAAACGAAACAACTATACACATGAGCCATTAGTGACTTCCGACAGATCATTTTTCAGTGAACGAAACTTAAAAATGTTCCTTTACTTAAACTACCTGTCTCTACATAGCTCTGGTAAAAAATATTTGCATTTGATAAACGAACGCTGCCTGTTAATTAAACGATGCCTTCAATTACAAAATTTGGTTAAAAATGCAAAGCCACTATTAAATGAAATTTTTTAACACAATTTACGACTGGGAAATTGTTGCGATATACATTGTAGCGCGATACTTTGTATGTATCACTACATGAATTTTCCGTTTAACTGGAAAATGTTGGCTAAAGCTATCATTAGGGCCTGAAAACCTCTTTGAGCCAAATTAAAGCACCAAAATAATAAGTTCTCCTTAAGTTCACATGATTAAAATTCTAACTTTGGTCGAACGAAATGGAATCTTTTAAAAAAATCGTAATATTGTTTATACCGTCAAATTTCCTTTTTAATCACAGGAAAACAGGTCTGCCTTTCCTCCCAAATCCCGTAAAGACGAAATTGGAATAAGGATTGATTGAGATGAATTAGTAAAAACAAATGATGAGTTAAGTTCAACAAATAGAAAACCTTCCAGAAGCACCGCGCCGCCATTGCAAACAGCAATGTGTGAAAAGCTTTCTAGTATAATGTTTATGTTTATGTTGCATTAGTGCTCATGAAAAACGGTTTCATATCAATCCTTCAGCTGTCTTTTTTTGACCCTCTAAATTTACACACAAATATAGATCTCAACGAAGTAATACAAATTACATTCAAATGTGTTGGTCAAGTTTTTGAAAATGTCGACATCAGTCATGAGCAGCTTGTACACAGCTGGAATGATAAAACCATTTTATGAATTTACCTGAGTGTCATACGTCTTTCTTTCCGAATCGTATGTAAATTTTTAGAGCTTAAAACAATTATGAGCAGGTGGCATTATCGGTAACCAAATGACACTATAGGGCGAGCAAAATACATCATTCCTTATGACTTGCTTCCAAAGCAATCTATTTAGCTGGAGTATCGTTTTCATTTGTTCAAAGTGCAAATTAACTCTTTGATCATTAGTTAAAAGGTTTGAGTTGGTATTTTCTTGGAACAAATTTTCTTTTTTGCTGAAAACGTCATCATCAAGTTATGTTCCAGAAAATCGACTGATAAATTGACGATTTGGAAAAGGCATCGATTTGAAACTTTTTTGTCGCATTCCATTTATTTCAACTATACTCAGACGAGACATTCAAAGTAAAAAAATTATTTAGGATGAGTCAATCAATCTTGTAGTCATGATATAAAAATCCTGATACAATCTGAACATGCGTATAGCGAAACTATCATCTAAAAGAACCTGTGCTACATCAGTTACGAAAAAAACACTAAATATTAACGAATCAATAATAGTTTAACGTGGGCTGTACTCTTACCGACAACCACATTCGTCATCACAGTAGTCAAAATGTGGTGGACTTCCGAGGAACAGGCGAGTGAATCCACAATAGCATATGACAGAGAAAGAGAACCGTATCCTTTATGAAGGCATTGAAACGTTCTAATGCAAATAAATTACAGTCATGTGTATTTTTTTCGTCCTCTAAATAAATATTGTCCTGATGTACTTTGTACCCCGCATACGGGAACTTTACATTTGTTGACTCTTGGCACAAAATTTTCCACTTCAACAGTACACTTAAATCTTTCAAGATTTGATTAATTCCTCAAGTACGGTCAACTACGATAATATCAGAAACGATAGAACATGAAGAACAAGACGCTTGTTATGATAGTCATTATTTAAAGCCTGGAGGACAAGGAGACGGAGGATTTTGGGGATTACATGGTTGTCAGGGAGAATGGAGGTGCGATCAGTCGTCTCAAAAAGAGTAAAGAGGGGGACTATAGAAAACTGAATGCAAATGAGGGGGTACATTAGATCCCCCTATCCCCTTCCCCTATCCCCCCCTCTCCTATTCCTCCTTCCCTATCCCCCCTCTTCCTCACCAGGCGATAGGTTTCTTAGTCTAAATTATTCAGCATGTAGCTGTAAACTCTATCTTTATTGCCTTAGGAACGACGGTTTTCTCAAAAGCATTCAAAATGTCAAGTTCCCAGGCTTGTCGCGCGATCAAGTTTCTTTCGACGCTGATGGCAACGGCTTGGGTGCTTATGACATCACAGTGGTCAACACTGAGACAGAACAATGGGAAACAATCGGGAACTGGATCTCTAATACGTCAAAGGTGGTTGATCTCCCCGTAAATGAGTCATTTCTTGAATTGAATTTGACAAAACTGAGAACGTTATGGAGAAAGGTATTCAACAGTACCGTTGAGCCCACTTCATTTTGTGGTCAGCAGTGCCCACCAGGACATTGGATGATTTTAGATGAACGTTACCAGGTCGGTTATTCCGTACCATTTAAACCTTTTTAAAGATGTTTCAGCCATGTTTACCCGGCTTCTTGGCCGAAAAGTAAGGGACAATAACGTAATTCATTCACTTTCTTCTCTCTCTGCTTCCTTCTCAATTCGACAGCTATATCATTTTTCTGAATTCGTCCGATTTCTGTTATGACAAAGTTCGTTACATATACACTTATATTACCCTTACTGGCCCGTGCCAACGGAAAGATTTCAGGCGTAAATTACACTACGGCAAAAAAAATGTTTTATGATTTTTGTTTCTCTCAGAGCTGCTGTTGGAAGTGTGCTCCATGTTCCACCAATGAGATTTCTCACAATCCTGTGAACGGCTCATGTAAACGCTGTCCTCCTCGCTATTGGCCAAATGCAAACCGCACTGGTTGTTTACCCATAATTCCAACTACCATCAAGTTGAGTGACCCAGCCGGCATATCGGTGGGCGTGGTCGCAGCGCTCGGTGCTCTGTGCATGTTGTCTATCACGATTGTTTTCCTTCGTCATGGCCACTCACACGTGGTGCGTGCGTCCAGCAAAGTCCTGAGCTACATTATGCTTTTTGGAATATCTTTGGGTTATCTGACTGCCGCTTTGATTTTGCTGGAAAGAACAAAAACTTTATGCCAAGTCGTGCTTTTCTTGTTTAGTATCGGGTTCTGTATCGTGGTCGGGACACTTCTGATCAAGACAAACCGGATACACCGGATATTTAGTAAAAATGCAATGAGGAAAGGTATGTTATATCACTTCCATAAAATGTCTTTTTTCTCCGGTTTTTGTGTGGTTACTGCCTCCTATGGGAGGCAAAGCCAAATACGTTGTTATCTTTAGAAACCAAGAAAAGGCTTGGTAGTTTTTAAAATAAAACCAGAAGAGAAATTTTAGAAGGCTGGTTGTTTGTAACATGTACAGTAGTAGTGTGTGACCTTTTTAATCTTTTTCTAAGCTCCTTGTTGTTGGACTGGTGGTTAAATCGGAGAGTTTACGTGGTCCTGTAACAGCTAATTGATTTTCCTGCTCGATCAGAACCTAAGAGAGGGAGATAAAGGAGATACTTCTTAGACTAATGCACTTATCAATAGATTGCCACAGGATGGGAGGGGCGGAAATACCCACGTGGACTTGACTATGAGGACCCCCGTTAAGTAGAGATTTTTACATTAACGCACTACCTCAGAGTTGGGATTTTGACCTCACTGATCACGGAAGACCACGGGAAACCGAATCTTCAGTTCCCAGTGGTAGAGGTTTGACATATAAGCACGGCGTTTACGTGAAACCGCAAACGTCAGCTCGCCCTTTCATGGTTCGCGTAAAATAGTATGAACCTTGCTGTTTTAGCTTCGTGTGTGCTCACATCACGGCGGATTTGAAGGCGCTCTTGTTTGAATCACAAAGAATAGTTTTGGTTCCATATTTCCAGCAATTAACTTATACTTTGTGAGAGAAAAAGTGAAGAAAATCTTGCGTACACGGCAAACGGAAAACAGGTTTTTTCACATAATAACAGCAAAGCGCAACCGGCAGGCGTGAATTGAAAAAAGGGCGGAAAGAACAAGGTTACGTGGTCGCCCCTGCCATTCACGTTTCACTTAAACGCGGTGATAAATTTCTATCTAATGTGTACTCGAGCCCGGGAAGTTGTCAAATCAGCCGGAGGCCGCTATTCCTCCCTCCTCCTCATCTTGAAACAAAGCATTAAGGTACATAATATGATAATATATAAATTCATACTCACCTTTTTGAGATTGCCAATAGTTCATTTACCATTTACAGGTACCCCACCATGTTTGAGCGACAGATGGATGGTAGCCTTCATACTTGGCTTTGTTCTCATAGAAATAGTCATCTGCGTCATCCTGGTATTCACCAATGATCACTTCACAGAAGTCGTTTATACTGACATGAAAAACGAAGCTTTCATTCAATGCAAATTTGCATCCTTTGATAATTACAACATTGCTCTTTGGTGGGGTTTCAATTGTGGTCTGGTTTTGATTTGCACGTATCAAGCCTTTCTTACAAGAAAAGTGCCCGGGAATTATAACGAAGCACGCTTTATAGCTTTTAACATGATGACCATCTCCACAGATCTGTTGATGTTTTTCCTCTCTTATTACGGCACTAAGACTTATTACAAAGACATTCTTGTAAGCGCTTTCTTAATCGTGGCAGATACCGTTACGATCACGTGTATGTTTCTACCAAAAGTCTACGTGATCGTGTTTCGTCCTCAGAAGAACGTGGACTCCAGATCGACAGTCAGCCTGGGAACAATTGATGCCGACGAGGACGAAGGCCAACCCGATAGGAAAATCAGCACCAGGTCAAACACGTCATTGCTAAGTTCTCCGTCAAATCTCAGTGGCAGTCAGATGGAAACGAGAAACAACTCAAATAACCACGAAAACAACGTAGAAAGTACAAACAGAAAGATATCATCGGCTCTTACAAACGGTAATCTCCACAAATCCTGGAGCTCAGATGGATGCAGTGAGCGTCCTGAAGTTGAATCACGTGACTCAAGTTTGAGCGTGCGCACTGTACGATTCGAGGACGAAATTGATTCTGATTTGATGCCGGATTCTCCAACTTTTCATGACAGTCTTCCAGAGGAGTTTGATTATCGACGCAGGGAGTCGACTATCTGAGCTTGTTTCTTCCTTAAAGATGAGAGCTCACTACATAAGTAAACCTGGTAGATTGTCATTGATACCGAAACTCTCTATTATTCACCCGTCTATCCAAGTTTTCGTCTTTCGTTTGTTTAAGATACATTAGCGGATCAGTCTACCATTGGCCGGTCCACTCGTTCATTTAGCCAATTTTTTCTTTTCCAGAAAGTCAATCGGTCGATAGATCGGTCAGTCGGTCGGTCGGTCGGTCGGTCGGTCGGTCGGTCGGTGGGTCGGTCGGTCGGTGGGTCGGTCGGTCGGTCGGTCGGTCGGTCGGTCGTTCCGTCAGTCAGTCAGTCAGTCTGTAGGTCAGTCATCCGTCAGTCAGTCAGTCAGTCAGTCAGTCTGTCAGTCGTTCTGTAAGTCAGTTAAGTCAGTCCATCAGTCAGACATTTAGTAAGTCAGTCAGTCAGTACTCAGTCAGTTCACCTGTCAGTTGATCAGTCAGTCTATCAGTCACTGTCAGTCAGTCAATCGGTCAGTCAATCTTCTAGGGTGCGTCGTGTAATTTACTCGAATTAATTCAACCCGAAACTCAGTCGTTGACTTGTTTCTTTAAACTCTTGTCGAATAATGTAATGGTTAAAGGGAAATTAACAGCGAAGAGGTATATTAAGTGAACGGCGATCTGACCAGAGTTCCAACTTCCCTTTAGATCGATCTCCGCCTCATTTGTTCCGCCATTGATTGTTTTATCCTAGAAACTTTCTGCGGATACTTTTATTTCACGGTTACGCACTCCGCGCTCATATTCATGGATAACTCTTTAACCCAATAGAGGTATGCTTGTGGTAAAATAAATTATAAGATTTTGGAAACGCATGGAGTTTTTAAATCCTCTTACAATTAAGTCCAACAAATTGAAATCCTTGATTGTAATTCGAAGAGCAAGCTTAGTCGCACTTTAGCTGACAATTTTTGGCAGTCTTTACTGGATAACAATTGTACGGACAAATATTTAGTTTCTGTTGTTTATTTAAAATCACGAATTCGTCTCCATCGGTTGACGGGTAAACGGCGTAAATCTAATGGCATTCCATTTGCACCAGAACAATTATTCGAGGTGAAGAGGTTTTGTTGTTAGCTGAATTGTTCTGAACAAGTCAATGGCGAAGAAAATTGGAAGTAGAAAAGATCGTCTTGTTAACAATATTATCGCGAACGAAAAGGAAGACAATCTGCTGAACTCGAAGCTTGCGGCTCTAGATTTGCAAAAACAGAGAGAAATGGTGCGTTGGGAGGCAGAAAAAAACAAACTGAGCTTACCAAGTCTCAAGGCAAATGGCAGAATATCACTGACGCCTCCATCTTCTCCTAACACATCTCCGACACGAAGCCCTGTATTACAACGACGGAGAAGCGATCTCATAGCCTCAGAAACTGCGTTGAGACCTCATAACCAAATGATAATCATTTCTGAAGGCGTTTGTTTACGTAGATCCAAATCATCACAAGACATCAGGCTTAGCGTCGACCTAAAGCCTCCTCCCTCCCCCGTTTGCGGACGTCCAGGAGCTGTTAGTCCAAGACTTCTTCATAGGAGATCGACAATTGCTCGAAGCCGTCTGAACGACGAAGAAATTGCGCTCCGACAAGCTTCCGCGGGACGACGTTTCTCAGCCGGAATTGTTCCTTCTATTCATGTCGAAGAGAGCGCAGAATCCCTCCATGAAAAAGTTAAGAGATTCAACGAAAGTCTACAAAAAGCAAGCAAGGAATCTAACCGAAGTGAGAACAGCACGAGCTCAATCGAAGACGATTCACTACCTTCCGGAGACTTATTGGTTCCACTGAAGCCTGTCGCTTTCAGGTCGAAGTCACTACCGAATATATTTCCGATGCCCGGCGAGAAATTGCATGAAGATATGACTTTTTACGAAGACATGAAGAGATGCAGGTATCTAAGGATTCCCGGCATTCCTCCGTTAAGTATTGAACAAATCTTTGACAAAGATTCTGATAAAAAAGTTACTAAAAAATCGTAGAGGCCAACCATACAACCTGAAACTGATTTTGTCAATGAACGATTTAGACCTTGATAAATTGGAATAAATCATAAGAAAGATCCTTAAGTAACATGAAAGAGAGGCATGATCAAAGCTCAGGTTCTTATTTACTTCAGAATAACGCCTCCTATAATAATAATGATAATAATAATAATAATAATAATAATAATATAACAACTTACCATTTATAAGGCGCAAAATAACATTCAGATATGATATCCTAGAAGTTCAACTGCTAAATCTCCGATCTTTTTCCACACAATGCGAACAAATTATTGATGGACGAATGAATGAAAGATTTTGCGATAAATAACAAAATGTAATCGTTCAACATCCTCAGTTTTCCAGAGTTCATTGTACCATTCAATTTTGCTACTGACATTTTTTTTAAAACTTAATTAAAAGAAGTGTCGATCGACGATATTGGTGGACGTGCCATGTAAGGCATTCCAACATATAAGCCATTGGTAGCAATAACAAAATCTGTACATCTGAGAAGCTCATAATGTACATTATTAATAACTGGATCATGGGATAATGCAATTCAAGACTTTTTATTGGCTCAGCCATTATAGTGTATGAGCCAATATATCATAATCTAATATCTGTGCATTGTAACATCCAGTTTCTTCTTACAAAATAAAGTCGAGAAGATTTGTCTAATATCTTGGGGGCGTTTTTTTAATAAAACAATTATTCCACTCGCGCTTGTTGGACATGAGATGATTATAGCCAACTCGGCGCTAAGCGCCTCGTTGGCAATCTATCAGCTTATATCCAACGCTCGCTCGTGGAATAATTGTTAATTATTAAAAACTGGATCATTGGATAATGGAATTCAAGACTTTTTATTGGCCTAGCCATTATGATATATGAGCCAATATACCATAATCTACAAATATGGTAAGCGTACGCGTCAGCTTAAAATCAAAAGGTAAAAAATCCGGTTTTTTCTAACAAAATAATAATTTCTTGGGGCGTTTTTAATAAAACAATTATTCCACTCGCGCTTGTTGAATATGAGATGATTATAGCCAACTCGGCGCTACGCGCCTCGTTGGCTATCTATCATCTCATATCCAACGCGCGCTAGTGGAATAATTGTTAATCATTTGACCTTTAACCCTTTAATTCCCATGAGTGACCAAGACAGAATTTCTCCTAGCAATATCGATACAATATCACGCAGACAAGTGACGAGAATAAAGACAAATATCAAAAAGGGAATTAGCTGATTCAATTCCAAATTCTCTGAACTAACATCACAAGAATTGTATGGCAGACAGTAAGAAGAATTACTAATGAGATCTTGGGAGGGAAAGGGTGGAGCAGCTAGGAACGTGAATCAGACGACTCCCTGCTCGTTAGAGCGCCAGCTGATTTCATAATTGCACTAAGTGCTTAATCGGATTTGTTTGTTCCATGAAGAAGGCGTTTTCTTTTTCAGTCGTTACAGGTAAACTACTCGAGTTTAGTGTAACGGAAGATCTTTTTCGTCTCCAAACCTTAGCACAACTTATCCTCACGAAAGCAGCGCGGAAACCTTCTTTCTGGCCCGAAATCTTTAGTGATTTCGGTATTTATAAGAATATAAGAATCTACCTCATTGGGCCAAATCGGAAAAAAGATAAATGAATGCACGAGGGAATTGTCAATTTAAATAAAGACACATTAAAAAAAGATATGTAACGGGAAAGACGGTCTCAACAGTTCTTTTCAATTTCTTATATAGTACATGGTCCTAGAATAGAATGGAACTTTGAAGTAAACGATACTTCGTTCGGGGAGACAAACTAACCTCAATGCCGTCAGCATCAATCAGCATGATACAAGAAAGTAAAAAAAATAAGTACAGGTCGTTAAAACTTTAGGCTGAATGTTTCAAGGTGTTTAACATTTTGGTGTTGTTTCGCAGCAAGAGCCATAATTGGGACCCAATTATGGCTCTTGTTTGCAGCTATCACCCAAATGGGGCCAGGCATATTGTTAGGCTTAACTAACATAATGTTTTGTGTTTCCCACAAGTGAAAGTACTAAATGAAACTATGTTAAGTGGCAATCGCTCATCAGGGGTACAAATTACACTTTTCACAGTGCCCTGTGACCCTTTGGGCTGTGACACGCAAAGCTGGCGCCTTCGAAGGAGTTCTTTGAGAGCGAACCGAATCCCCACTTGGATTTCTCTGCTTCTAGTCTTCGCGGCCCAGTCGGCTTTTGTTCATTGAACTTAATAATTACCGCCAGCAACGCGGGCTATTTAATTTGCCGTCGCGTGACTCTAGCTGGAAATAATCTTTGCCGCTTATTGTAAGTAAGCAACTTTGTACCTTTTCACCCCAAACTGCAATGAACTTTCAGAATTTTGCGCGCGTGCTTTCCCATTTCCGACTTACTTGCAAGGCATGGAGAAATCAACGGAAAGAAAGATGAATGCAAAAATTAAGACTGAATAAGGATCTCACTGATCTAGCCCACATACAGAAGTTGAAAGGCAATCAGGTCCTCTCCAACAAACCTTGAAATACTATGGATAATAATGGATGGGCAAATGTCCACGTCATTCCGAGCTTCTTAGTCAGACGGTAGACCGATTAACCTTAAAGTATAAAACAATCAGATGAAAAGCTTAAGATTCCTATTTATAACATATAGTTGATGACGGCGGATCCGAACCAAATAACACATATAGAAAACAAGTCTGTTAAGTCTACTAACTATTCATTCGAAACTGAACAATAAGAGAGGCTCAGAAGTCTACGACGGCAGCTTGTCAGGCACCTTATCCATCACGGTGTAGGCATCAAGTGGCGTAACCAGTCACATTGCAGCCTTTGTGACAGGATGCTTTTAGTCCAATAGATTAATACTGATTTTGATTATCTATGAAGCGAGATTCAATACACTCCATGGAGCTGATTTAGCTACAGAGCGTTAAAAATAGCGTAGCCGGTCATTTTCTGTATGCACGTCTTTGCCTTTATTTAGCTAGCGATTATCGAATGTTCCAGAGAGCTTAAGACAAAACAAGCGGCCGTAAAGGCTGGCTTATTCATAAATCAAAGTAGATAAAAGCGACAAGCTTTCGCGAGTTTGACCTTCACCCCTCGAGTTGCTTCATCTAATTCAGTACTGTACAGACATAAACAACTGAGATTTCTCCGAGCAAATTTTTTCTGTTGAGCAACAACGGATAAATCTTTTATTTTCCTTCAAGTGTTTGTTGGCAAAAGCAGGCCCTCTGGCGAATCAGTGGAGTTGAAAACACAACAGAACAATAAACGTTTCTGTAACCTTTATTGGAAAAACAAGGCAATCATGATAACCAAATAACCACACCTGGAATGCTAAACGCAGCTTGATTACATTCAATAGCCACCATATGTTTATCAAAATCAGCTAAAATTCATACAATGAACTCTTTACACCCCAGGTCAGTGAGCATATTCTCCATACATTTCTGTTCTCTAGGATGCATTTCTCATCAGGGTACTGACAAAAAGAATTTATCTAACAGTCAAGAGCTTCTTTGAGAGGCGATCATTTCTTTTAATTCTCACAGCCATAATGTTTGATTCACCAGTCATGCTCCAAGGAGAAATGCATGAACTGTTAGCCACTTAAGGGGTTAAAAGGTTAGATCATATAACGTGCGTCATTTGGTTTGAGGGCCTCAAGTGCTGCGGTGAAAGCAGCGATTTCACCAGTTCCGTTTGAGCAGAAGAGAAGAAGAGCACCGAGAGCTATTTAAGGTACATTTTGCCTACAGATTTACTCTCTTTCCTAAAGATGAAATGTTATTCATTTCTCGTTAGCTTATGATAGAAATTATTAAGCTATGTATGTACTTTTGTCGGAAGTTTTAAGTTATCCGTAGGCGTTCACCCTTCGTCACGACAAACGCCCCCGAGTTTGATCAGATTGCAAATTTATCCAAACCTGCCCTTGGTCCATTTTCATCGATGGTTAATTTTTCTTCGTGACTCAGTATCGCTAGTGAAAACGCTGACGTTGTCCCAAAATGCAACTTTAGATCGTTAGATTCACAAAACACTAGTGATTTAACTGGCTACTGGACTGCATCAAGCATATTAAGTCTCTGCGCGAGCATTTAGGACAACCCCTTCGTCTGAATCAAGACAGACTAAAGTCCCAATATTTTTCATTTCTAAATACATTGAATCAAACGGTTCACATTTCTATTCACATCCTTCAAATCAAAATTTCATGATTTTAATTTTGTTTTTGTTGCATGACTCTGGCCCAACCTTGACATGTTACACCTCACTTCATCGGTACACTGTCAGTGTCCTCATTCGTTCCGAAATTTCGCACGTCAATGCAAATGTAAAGCTCTAACAGAAATTCAGTTCCTTCAAATCTGCTGCACTTCATAGACCACGTCGATCTCAGATTTAAAGAAAGGGTCAGGTTAAATACGATGCGAAAGTGAGATATATTGAACTGCTAATCTATACACTGTCATACGAACTTTTCAAAACAATTCACAGCTTTTTACCCAATTTCATCCTATCGGTGTTGTTTTATTTGCTTCCGCTATGTTAACCTAGGGTCGTCGTGATGATTTTTCATTAGAGGTGATCTAGCTGCGAATTGACAAAAGCAACCCTATATCGAGAAGTTCACGTGAACGGTAAAATCCAGGGCGCAGTTGTCCAAAAGATGGATAACGCTATCCAGCGGATAAATGTCAACAAAACGTACTGAGCTATCCGCGTCACCCAACCTTGGAACAGCCAGGGTAGGGAAAAAAATTGAACCTTCCTTGCGAAGTACATTCAGAATAGTGCGTTTCGCAAGCGAAGTAATATCTTTAAGTGAAAGACATAACACTGGCGTGGAAAGGAAACACAAGAAGGAATCTCCTGGGATGCATTTAAATGATTGTTATTAATCATGATTTAGTCAAAGAACGTGCTGGTTGCGTGATGCTTGTGCGGCTCCTGTCTACAAATCCAATCAATCTACTGAACTGCGAGAGATTTAAAGATACATGCTCATTTTTATTCAGATATCAATGCAACAAATACAGACTCTTTAAGCAGATTGATTCAGGACACGCTTGAAACAGATACCTTTAAAATATAAACTGTAAGATAAGTCACTTTTATTCATAGATATCCTTTACGAGGTGTATGTCTGTCATTTCCTATGCAGAAAAGATGTTGTGTCGTGCTTTGGACGACCTTT